ATTTTAGCTAATACGGTAGTGGGGGCGAGCCACCCCAGCGGATCGAATAGCCGAGCGGCTAAAGATAAGACCGACCGCTTCGTAATAGCCTCCAGTTGGGTCAGTTGCGTCGAGTAGGCGAACTGATCTTCGCGTGGATGCCAACGCAGCCCGAGGGTCAAGTGGCTCTCTCCCGGGAGCCACCACCGGGGCTCGCGTTGAAGGCGATCCTCAGGAGGGACCTCATCGAGTATCGACGCCTCGTTCGCCGACCACTTCTTGAGCGGGAAGCCGCCCGCCATGCAGATTCGGTCCAGCTGACGACGGATCTCTTTGGCTCTCGAGATCGTGTCCGCGCCAGACAATACGTCGTCCATGTAGGTCTCCAGTAGGAGGGCGATAGCTCCTAGCGGGAACTCAACTCCCTCGTCCTTGGCCAGCTGATGGAGCGTGCGAATCGCTAGAAACGCGGAACAAGCAAGCCCGTACGTGAGGGTGATTAGGAGAAATTCCAGCAACACATTGCTAGGGCTCTCACGCCAGACTATGCGCTGCAGATCCCTGTCTTCCGGGTGGACTTCGATCTGCCGGTACATTTTCTCTATGTCCGCCGCGAAAACGTACCGGTGACGCCGCCAACGGAGTAAGATCTCTGCCAAAGCCGGCAGCAAGTTCGGCCCGGTCTGCAGATACTTATTTAGCGCCGCCCCCGTCGGCAGCGCGGAAGAACCGTTGAAGACGACTCGCAATTTCGTCGTCGTGCTGGTTTCCTTCATCACTCCATGGTGAGGCAGATAGCAGACGGCCATTTTCGCCGGATCGGCCGGAGGATCGACCGGCGTCATATGCCCGAGCTCGACGTATTGACGCATGAAATCGGTATACAGCGCATGGAAGGAAGCATCCCGCGCGAACTTCGCTTCCATGGCCTTCATCACGCGAACGGCCGCGCGGCGCGTACCACAGAGATTCGGCATCGGCTCGACGACGGGGAGTCGCACCACGTAGCGCCCGTCGGGCTTACGCGAATGTGTGCGCGCGAAATGTTCCTCACACTCCTGATCGGCTTTCGAGAGCGGTCCGGCAGCCGACGGAACCTCCTCCTGCTCCCAAAATCGCCTCACTAGTTGCGACAGTTCGTCCTCGACACGGCACTGGTAGGATTGCGCGAAGTGACTCGAAGCACCTTCACCGATAGCGCCAGACAGAATCCAGCCAAGAGTCGTGTTTTGCGCGACGGGCTCGCGACTACCCCCTTTGCGAAGTCCCTCTTGCAATATTTCCGCGTAAACGTCGGCACCGAGGAGAATGTCCACCGAGTCGGACGCGCTGAACTCGGGGTCCGCCAGCTCCAGACCCCGAAGATGAGACCACGCTTCAGCGCCGGCCTCGATACCGCCGGCGTATATTGTGAGCCGGGGGAGTACGAGCGCGGAGACCGACATCGCGGGGCCGTCGGTTCGCGGCGCGAGAGTCAGCGATACGCGTCCTTTTGCGACGGCCGTTTTCTGTCCGCCGACGCCGAATATCGAAACCGACGTGCGAGAACGCGGTAACTTTAATCTTTGCGCGAGGCGCTCGGTCACAAGGGACGACTCCGATCCCTGGTCGACCAGCGCGCGAGCGTGATGCAAGGTTCCGAACCGATCGGCTACGCGAACGCGAGCGGTGGCGAGGAGCACCGCGCTCGGCTTTACGGCAAGTCTTTGAGCCGCGTGAACCGTCTTCGTGACCTCGACCTCGCGACACGCATCGTGGACGGAAGTATGGTGTCGCGCGCCACACGCTGCACACCCCTTCTTCGACGCGCACTCACTGACCTTGTGAGAACCGAGGCAGTTCAGGCACAGGTTCTTGTTGTCGACGAGCTGCTTCCGTTCCTGGGCTGTTTTCCTCTTGTAGTCCTCGCAGAACATGAGGATATGGTCCTTTTGGCGGCAGTGGCAACGACCTCGCTTGGCGTCCGGATTTCCCTCCTGCTTCCGAGCGAGGTGGCTCCGCGCGGATTTGGCGGCTCCGCTCGCGGCCTTACCGGCGGCTCCGTCGACCTTAGCAGGCTGCATCGACTCGAGCGTATGCAGCTGCCGATCCAGGAATTGCTCGAGAGTCGCATACGTCGGAGGCTCGGTCGTGTCGCCGATTGACGTTTCCCACTCGCGTCGCGAACGCGGATCCAGTAGCTCGACCGCCAGATAAACGAATAAGTCCTCGCTACGGTTTATAGGCCGACCGATACTCGCCAACGAGCTGACCGTTGCTTTGACGCCGTGGAAAATCTTTCGAAGCTCGACCGCCGATTCACTCTTCATTTTAGTTAGCGCAAGGAAATTGGACAGATACGCGCGGGTGAGAAGTCGCTTGTTCTCATAATACGCATTCAATACGTCCCACGCACTGTTATAATTTTCGGCCGTCGTCGCGATATTCCGGACTAATAACTCAGCCTCACCTTTCAAGGAAGTTTTGAGGTAGTGCAGCTTTTCCACCGGCGTCGTGTTAGCGTCCCGGCCTATGAGAGAGTGGAAGAGGTCGCGGAACGACGGCCAGTCCTCGTATTTGCCTGAGAATTCCGGCAGCTGAATCCGCGGTAACGTGGTGCGATTCGTCGTTGTCGCCGTCTCCGAAGTCTCATTCTTAGTTGCAGCCTCCTCCCTCGCCTTGTGCGACAGGAGGACGTCCAGGAACATTCCCTTCTGCGTTAAGAAGGTCTCCTCCACCAAAGCCGGGAGGTCCTGTTCCTTATAGTCAGTGGCGGCAAGGACGTCTGGAGGCATTAATAGCAGTTTGCCGTGTTGTTCCTCGAACTTGTT